TAACATTATGGGTTTTATTTTTTAATAAATTCACTGTCAACTTTTATTCGCCTGAAAAACGTCTGAGTAGAAATGAATTTCTCTGGGCGTCGTGTGGCGTCGTGCTCTAAGCAGGCGCCCCATGTGTAGAGGCCACAGTCCTCGCTGCAGTCGGCCCCGGTTCTTTGCTGCATGTCATTCCCCCTCTCTGCCTCCTGTCTCTCTACTGCACTATCAAATAAAGGCATAAAAAGCCCAAAAAAGAAATATACCAAAAAAAAAAAGAAATAAATTTCTCTGTAATGTTGTTTCACTTCCTCCTCACACCCGGTGTAGCAATACTTGTTGCATGTGTTTTTGTATTTGTTATATTTCTGGATTTTCTGTGTTTCTCCTTAAAGCTCCTCCAGTGTAAAGGTCTGTGTCCATGTGTAGTGTGATTATAGATCAGCTCTAGCTTCTATATTAATACTGTGAAAGTATCAAAGCCTCAGTCCACAGAGAAATGCACACAGCCTGTATTCAGAAACTGAGCCTTAAAACCAGCCGTCAGGACTTCTGGAACTTTGTGATGTCACAACAAAGCAGTCACCAAGCCCCGCCCACCTGGACCCACCATCCAAACCTTGCAGGATTTGGTTTCTCTGAGTGTTTTTACCTGAAATCTGCTTTATTTTTATTGGATCAGTCAGAAAACAGTCAGCCAATCAGAAGAGAGACTCAGAGCCTAAACACTCAGTATAAATCCAGCTTTAGGTTCTACATGAATCACTCAGCCGCCATGTTTTTATTCAGAAAGGGGAGGAGTTTGCAGCTGTGCTTCTTAATACATCGAATCTTGGTCCTTGGTGTTTCTGCACTACAATTCCCAGAGTTCAACTGTCTATCAAACGGTTTGGGCAGGATGATTATGTTCTTTAATTTTACATTGACACAGTTTGACTTTCTGTTTCTGATTATTCAAAATAACCACAGACATTAAACACACCACTGCTGCGTTTCCTCCTTTAATGTTGTGTTCTGTGGTTTTTTCCTCCTCAGTCCAGACCAGCGAAGCGAGGCTCGGCCACAGCATCTTTCGGGGATCTGTCAAAGATCAGTCAGCCGACCAGCGCAGACAAGTCACAGAGCCGCTGACACGTCCACACACTGTAAATAAGAGACTGTATTTAAACAACTATGTTTTGGAGGCAGGTTGAATGTAATGTGTTGTAATATTCTCTGAAATAAAGCTGAGCAGTGAAAACCACGACGTGTGGGAATTGATTTTGTTGTTTGAGTCTTTACTCACGCTTCATTTCCACCTCTTAGTCACAGTGTGAGTTCCTCTTAGATAAACCAGACTCTGTGGTTTCATCCCGTCACACGGCGAGCGTCCGCAGGCTGCACAGATGCTGCTTTACCTCTGCCTCCTCTCGGCCGGACGCCTCTCTCTCGCCTCCAGTAAGTAAATCCATTTAAAAGACTCGGTGTCAGTTCTCCGGCGTTCACACTGGCTCAGTATTTTATTCATCTTCTGATTCTGATGTTTGTTAACACCATGAAGGAAACGTGGAAACAAACCATAAAGTTTTAACTGGAAGATGAAAAAGTTTAATAAGATAAAATAAAAATAAGAATTCTAAATAAAAAAATAAGAGAACAAGAACCTTCAGCTGAAAGTGGGAAACAGACGTCGTCATGACAGAAGCTCCAGCAGTGAAGGAAGAAACACTGAGGTCCTTCAGTGAAATCCTGGACTCTCTCTCTCTGATAGGATCATGTTGCTGCTTTAAGTTTAATTCATTGTGTTTGTGATGGTCTGTTGTACATGAGGACGATCGGTACGTCTCATAATTAAAAAGTGAATATTTTGTGCTGACTGTGGAGTAAAGACAGAAATGTTTCCTCTGCTGCTTTTTTAAAATCAGAAAAGTAAAAAGTCATTTGTTGTATTTAAGGTTGGCTCAGTGTTTTTTACAGCACGCTGTGCAGCGCTCACTGACCCAACATGAACTGTCATATAACTCTGATTTACTGAGTTTCACTGAGTGAATCACCTCCATGAAAAACCCCGACTGCAGCAGAGTAACAGCTGGTGTTTAAGGAGAAATTAGACACTGAACACCTTCAGGTGCTAAACTCCTATTTGAACTATTTGTGTGAAATTTTGTCATGATTGCCGTGAAGTCTTGAGTAATGGCTAAAAGGTGTTTTGTGAGGTCACACTGACCTTTGACCTTTGACCACCAAAGTCCAGTCAGTTCATCCTTGGGTCCAAGTGAAGAAGTTCCTTGAAGGAGTTGCTGAGACATCGTGTCCAGGACAACCTGAAAACAAAATGGCTGCCGACCACATGTATCACGGCCCGTTTCTAACAGCTGCCTGTCTGTTTCCAGATGTTCCAGCAAAGACTGTGCAGCAGAACACGGACGCCACCCTGCCCTGTCCTCACGCAACAGGAAGTGGAGATGTGACGTGGTGGCGTGTGAGACAAGGGGAGAAGGTGGTTCTCGTCACTATCAAAAATGGCCACAAGGACAGCCGTGAGGAACGCTACGATTCCCCGGGAGATAATTCACTGGTCATACACAACGTTCAGGTCTCTGATGAGTCCATGTATTTCTGCAACGATAAACAAATATATCTGAGCGTGACCTCAGAGCCCAACATGGTGGCGCCCACACCAGGTGAAGCACCAGTCACACACAGAGACGACGCTCTGGGTTCAGGAGGGAGCGGCACAGAGGACCCGCCCTCACACCTGTGGATGATACCTGTCGGGGCGGTTATAGGTGGCGCTCTGGTGCTAGCAGCCGTGGTGACGCTGAGGCGGTGCTCACAGAGGAGACGCAGCCGCCCGGACACGCCTGTGACGGAGGGGATCTACGAGGAGATCAAGGACGGCAGCCTGCAGCCAGATGTGGAGAGTCCCTACTACTGGTCCACTGTCATAGCAACGACAGACCCCCCCACCCCCACCCCCACAAACACTGCTCTGTACAGCACCGTTACCAAGAGCAACAGGGAAGGACGGGCTGAGGAGGGTGTGTATTCTCTGGCCCAGAATCCACAGACAGACAGATAAATAGACAGACAGACAGACAGACGACAGACAGACAGGCAGGCAGGCAGGCAGGCAGGCAGACAGACAGACAGACAGATAAATAGACAGACAGACAGATAAATAGACAGACAGACAGATAGACAGACAGACAGATAAATAGACAGACAGACAGACGACAGACAGACAGACAGGCAGGCAGGCAGGCAGACAGACAGACAGACAGATAAATAGACAGACAGATAGATAAATAGACAGACAGACAGATAGACAGACAGACAGATAAATAGACAGACAGACAGATAAATAGACAGACAGAAAGTGTAGTTTATTTTCAGGTGATTATAAAAACATTTGAAAACAGTCAGATTTGAGGCCAACAGGAAGGTTATTAAGCCCTTCTCTCTGCTGACTGTCACACATACTGATCTGACGGATAGAAGCAGAAACTGCTGACAGACACAAAATCCTTCTTTCTTCTTCGTTGCAGAAACAGACAGAAACACACAAACTGTCACAAACTGTCACAAACTGTCACAAACTGTCACACCTCCACATATAGACACACCGGGACTAACAACGTTGTAGTGGCTATTTGTCTTTCAAACAAATTTAAGTCCAACATAAAAAATCAAAAGGCCACTGATGCACCATGGGGGATGTAGTTTATGCAGGTAAAAGAGTATATTGTCCAAACAAAGCCATTATTATTCGTCCAAACAAGCAGCAAAGGAACATAAAGATTTTATTTGACAAAAAATTGACAATAAACTAAGTTAAAGGTTATTATTATTTTTCAAACTCTTTCTATAAATATTGTGATAATAATGTTATGGTGAAAATCATGACAGCCGTGATCTAAACACTGTTGTGAAACTGTTTGTATTTCCTGTCACCGTCTGACTCTGTTGTTGTGCTGTTGTAACTATATTAAACGTGTATATCCTTAAACAGGGATGTGGGTTATTCTGTCATTTTGTGTGGTGTTCACTGACCACAATAACATCACACGTTTGGTCTCGAGTCCTGCAGCAGTAAACTCTGTTTGACATCTGAATCAGTGGAGGAGGAGGAAGTCTTCAGATAAAAATACTCCATTACATGTAAAAGTAAAAGTTTTCAGTGCAGAACAGTTTCTCCTGTTATATTGTTATTATCATATTATCAGATTATTATCACTCGTGCATTAATGTGTAAACAGCGTCTTACTGTTGTAGTTGGTTGAGGTGAAGCTGATTCTTTAATTTTTATTGGACTGAGAATCTCCACAATGAATGAATTGATTAATTGTCAGATAATAGTGATAGACTGTTGATTGTTCTGATTGTCTAAACCTCAGAATGATTCAGTTTATTGATTTAAGACGAGGAAAAGTTCCAAAGCTGAAGCTAGTTTCATGAAATTATTGGAATGTTCTTAATCTGACAAACCAGTTATTAAAATGGTTTTAATCTTCTGAGGATCAACTAATCGATTACTAATCATTACTCATCTCTAATTATATGTACTGTTGGGTAAATTAATCTCAAACCAACTACAATAACTACTTATATTTTATAAGCTCTTCATGTGTTTTGCATTGAGGTGAACTGAAAGTATAAAGTGTCATAAAATGGAAATTCTCAAGTAAAATAATTCAATGAATAAGTCACTAATAAAAAAGCTATAAATACTGTTAATGCGTTTTAATATGTAACTTATCCTATAATTTATTAATTTTTCATCTTTTATTATATAAAATTATTATCATGTATTTTATTGTTTTATTATTTATTATTGTCAAACTTTATTCTTTTTTAAAATGTATTTATTGTCTTCGCCTTTGGAATGCGGAAAAAATAAATAAATAAAGTTTAATTTGGAAAAAAAAAGTTTCCGGCGGTCACGTGACGACGTTGCCATGGCAGCGGCTCTTGTTTCCATGGGCTCAGCTAGCTAACGGCTCTCAGTTTAGCCTCTCTCTCTCTCTCTGTGCCGTCGCTGTGTGTGAGTCGCTCTCTGCCTCACGATGGTGAGTAACGTCTCGGTTTCATCCGCGGCTTTTTACCGCACTGACTTCTGTGGAGCACGGTTAGCTGTGTGTTAGCTTGTTAGCTTAGCACCAGCCAGACACCAGCTCCGTGCGGACGCTGTTAGCTGCGGTGCTCACGGTGGTTCAGACATGTCGTTTTCTGTTCCAGCCGCCGAAGACTAAAGGCAAGAAGGCCGGGAAGGGGAGGTCCTCCGCGGTGGTGGACGGTCTTCCGACGGAGGAGATGTCCAAGGACCAGGTCAAAAGTGGCTTAAATAGATGAATTTAAATCCTTTAGTTCCACTTTATATTATTAATATTCTGTTGAATGTGTTTGTTTTTTTTAATTGTTCCTTCACTGTGACGTCGCTGCTCTGTGCATGTCTCACCTGCTGTTCCTCTGAGCTCACCTGAGTCTCACACCTGGATGTAAGAGAAACCAGTGATGTGTGATGTGGACACCTGAGGAATCATCATGTGTCCAGGAGTTTTCAGATAAAAAACGTCTCAATATTTATACACTGACCAAAAATACAACGTAACCATTAACAACTATAAACCTTAAACACAACACTTTTGCTCCCAGTTTTCATAAGATGAAATAAAAGATCTAAGACTTTGTCTAATGACACAAAACCCGTGTTAGTGAGCATTTCTCCTTCGTCAGGATCAGTCGTGCCACACCTGTCAGGTGGGTGGATGATCTCCTTAAAGGAGAAGAAAACAAAACATAAACAGGTCCTCCATCTTTTATTTCAACTCATGAAAAATAGAGCAAAAATAAAACTGTTGTCCCCTCCCCCCGGAGACATAACCTGTCAGAAGGTATTTGTTGTAACCTCAACAAAATGTCTGTGACCTGCAGCTGGAGGAGCACATCATTCGCCTCCGGGAGGAGCTGGACCGAGAGCGGGAGGAGAGGAGCTACTTCCAGCTGGAGCGGGACAAGATCCAGGCATTCTGGGAAATCTCCAAGAGGAACCTGGAGGAGACAAAGGCCGAGCTGAGGAACAGAAGCAGGGAGAGAGAGGAGGCGGAGGAGCGCCACCGAGTGGAGATCACTGTGAGACACACACACACACACACACACACACACACACACACACACACACACACACACACACACACACACACACACACACACACACACAATATTACAAAATAAATCTACAGAGCTTCATTCATTATCATTATAAGTTTTGCAATTTTACATTTCATAACAGAAATAATAGTTTGTGTTTAATATCTGGTTATTGACTGTGAGTCTTGGTGTAACTGTCTGATACTGGCTGATCTCAGTGTCGGAGCCTCGCTGAGACTCTGGTCCAGTGAATGACGCTCAGAGTGAAACAGACTTTACATCACAGTGATCGCACTGAAGTGAACTGACTCTGTGTCTGGTGGACACCGGTGTCCAGGTGTACAAGCAGAAGCTGAAGCACGTCCTGTTCGAACACCACAACGCCGTCTCCGAGCTGAAGACGGACGGCGTGGCCTCCGCCTCGCTGATCCAGAACCAGCACACCCGGTCAGAGCTGGAGCTGCAGAGGGACGTGCAGGGTCTGGAGGCGGAGCTCCGTGAGAAGAAGCTCCACAACGACAACTGCATCAAGGAGCTCAAACTGGTGAGTCCTGCTTCATCCGTGCACTGCAGCTGCTTCCTGTTTCATTCCTACAAGTGTTTCCTGTCACTGCTCCACAGAAACACCAGGTGGAGCTGATGGAGCTGACCAACGACTACGACCGGCGAATCAGAGGTGAGGAAACCCGGGCCCCTACTGGTCAGACCTGATCACGTCTGATCAGAGGGACGTTCCTGCTGTGACATCATCATATACTAGACTCACCACATCAGTACACGTTGAATCTTGGTACCAATGTTGGAATTTACGTTAACCTCACTAAATCTTTTCAAGTCATTTTTAGCTTTATTGTGACGGGGTCAGTGAGAGAGACAGGAAACCCAGGCCACTGCTGTAACGCTCTCTGCCACCAAACCACTGTCTTTCCTTCTGTCGCCGTTTCAACAGAAATTGAGGTCAAATATCACACGGTGACGCAGTCGATGGCGGAGGCGGAGGGGAAGAAGCGGAGGGCGGAGGTCAACGAGCTGGAGGACAGAATGAAAAGCCGCGTGGTGACTCTGATGGAGGATCATGACCGAGCTCTGAGAGGAGCCGAGGAGTATTACTCAGCTGTTCAGACCAAGCTGCTGACGGATCAGAGGGCGCTGAAGGTGAAGTACGGCAGCCCGCTGCTGCCAAAACACATCCTGCTGGAGGCGTGGTCCGCTCACTGATACTGAACACACACACGTTACACACGTGATGAATACAAACACACGTGTCATCATACATTAGTGTTGTCATGGCAACAACACGCTGCCGTACTAGAGGACGTTATTGCTGTAAAAGTGTCGATGTAGTTTTTCTCTCTGTCGTGTCTTTGAACGTCTCCAGTCTGGAGGATGTGGAATTACATTTTGTGTTAATTAATGTTAATTAATGTTGATCAGGTCGAGAAAAAAGATTTCCCTTCTCAGTTACAGATGTTTGGTGTCACTGTGCTGATGTTTGGTTTGAGTGCTCAGTAGGAAACAGCGTCCTGCAGCTTTAAAAAAAAAATGCACAAAAAAATCCTACATTTCCCACAATCCAACATTTCCTCAGACACTCTGCCTGGTGAACACTCACATCTGTCGTTTGTTTGTAACGTAACAGCTGAGATAATTCTGTGAGCCCAGAGCTGCTGCAGTCACAGGCTGATGAGCTGACGTGACGTTCAGGTTGTTTTCTCCTGATGTTTGTGTTTGTCTCCAGGACGAACTCGCAGAGGTTCAGAAGCAGGAGGCGCGAGCAGACAGAGATCTGTCGGCCGCTCAGCAGGAGAACAAACGTCTGCGAGAGTCTCTGCAGGAGGCCGAGCGCAAGCTGCCCGAGCTCCAGAAGCAGCTGCAGGACTACAACCAGGCCAAGGCCAAGATGGTGGTGCGTTCGCTGCACAGAGCAGCCGAGTGTTTCACGCTTACCAGTTTATTTTCACGCTCTGAAACTTCAGATCCATACACAAAATCAAACGTGAGGTAATGCTCCGGTAGTTTTGTTGGAACCATGTACATCATGTTGTTGTCCAGCTCTCTGTGACACTGATCTCTGGATTGATGTGGTGGAACACAGCGAAGTGTTTCCTGCTTCTGACAAAGAAAGAGCAAGACGTGCTGCTTTACTCTGGCAGCTGTCATTTTCTTATGTTCCCTAATGAAGTATTTAATGAAACAGCTGATCAGGAATCTGAGAGAGACCAACCAAAGCTTCAGTCACTTGTAGTTTGTTGTCAGATACTTTGCAGACGTCTTCACTGCAGCGCTGAATCGTAGCAGCTCAGTGAATCTGCCTGGAGCTCCTTGTTTCCTGAGGAGAAAAGAAGCTAAAAGTTCATTTGTTAAATCAAACATGGAGCAGGACGAACAGCTGTCTCTACCTGCCCCACGTAAATGAAACCAGTGATTAAAATGTTGCTCCTCCTCCTCTGTGTGGCAGACGAGCCGAGCTCAGGTGAAGGTCGCTGAGCAGGAGCTGAGGGATCTGAGCGTGGAGCACGAGCTGCTGCTGCAGGCCTTTGAAAAGGTAAAAGGTCAGTTTGTCACGTGACCTCCTCTCGGCCCGCCGGGCGTCCGATGTGAACGTGTGGGTGTGGTCAGGTTCAGCAGGAGCGCGACGAGCTGCTGAGGAAGCAGGCGGAGGCCGTCGTGGAGGTGCAGCGGAGGAGCGGACTGAAGGAGCTGCTGCTGGAGAGGAAGCTGGCGGCGCTGACCGAGACTCTGGAGAAGAAGGAGGCTCAGCTCTGCGCCGCGCTCGCCGCCACCCAGCAACCCGCCGCCAGCAGCGCCGCAAACAAACTGGAGGTACGATTCTATATCCACATCTGTGTCCTAAATGAACATGAATGACCTCTGACCTCTCCAGGGAGTCAGCAGGTCAGAAAGGAACTCATCCCACTTCCCTCATTAAAGCTGTCAGGGGTCAAGGGTCAGGATCAGGGTCAGGGTAAACTAAGACTTTTTTCAACACAATGAAAACGGCCAATCGGGAACCACATCCAACCACCGAGCTGTTTGTCTTCAGAGAACACGTTTGTCTTACAGTTACAAGGGCGTTTTATTTTGAAAATTCAGCAAAGAGTGAAACCTTGCTCTGTGATTGGTTGAAATATTGCTGAGTCACGTGTTTCTGCTGCTCACAGGAACTCCTGGAGCGTAAACAGGTGAACATCAGCGCCTTACAGGAGGACCTGGCTCGAGAGTGTCAGGTGAGTTTTCAGGTGAGCGTGGTCACTGCTCGGCGTCATGCGACAGTCGCTTCACGCTTCAACATGTGACCTGCAGGAGTACGACCAGCTGCTGCACACCTGTACGGAGAGGATGAAGGCTCTGGGCGTCCCTCAGCACGACTTCCCCTTCAGACCCGCAGAGCAGATCCTGAACAGACTGACCCCCCAACCCTGAACCATCCTGAACCATCCTGGACCCTCCTGGACCCTCCACCTCCTCCACCTCCTCCTCCTCCTCCTCCTCCTCCTCCTATGTTTTAATTAGTTTGTGCTTCATGTTAATGAGTGAATCTTTTCTTCACTGTATTTTACATTGTTCTTTTTGTAGTTCAATTTGTTCTTTCACTTCCTCCAAAACTACGGTGGCTCTGAAGCTCAAAACACAAACAACTCCAGAAAANCCCTCCTCCTCCTCCTCCTCCTCCACCCTCCTCCACCCATGTTTTAATTAGTTTGTGCTTCATGTTAATGAGTGAATCTTTTCTTCACTGTATTTTACATTGTTCTTTTTGTAGTTCAATTTGTTCTTTCACTTCCTCCAAAACTACGGTGGCTCTGAAGCTCAAAACACAAACAACTCCAGAAAACATCTTCATCACATGAGCTGCAAGTACTCACAACACAACAGGAAGTGTTTCCAGGGGACACAATAAAGTGATGAACCAGGCTGCGATGCACTCATTGTTAAATATTTTGTGACTTTCAAAGTTAAAGGCTTTGAACAACAAGTGCGTCGCAGCCGTGTTCATCACTTTATTATGAGTATGAGCAGCTCATGTGATGATGTTTTCTGGTTGTTTGTTTTGAGCTTCAGGGCCACCGTAGAAAACTTGACAGAAGTTAAAATCATGTCCAGCCTCACTGAGACGCTGTGGACGACTCGACTACAACAAACATTTCATCTGCTGCTTTTCTCTGTGATTCTGCTTCAGCTGAGTCTGAAACCAGAAACACAAACTGCATTTTGCTCAACACACAATATGACTGACACTGATGTAAAACTGCAGACTGAAGTCTAGAACATGTTGTACAGCTGTTTATTACATTAATTATGAATCTTTACAGTCACTTCTAATATGTAGAAAACCTGCCACAACTGCAGAATCTGACTGTGTTTAAAGCTCCTCCAGTGTAAAGGTCTGTGTCCATGTGTAGTGTGATTATAGATCAGCTCTAGCTTCTATATTAATACTGTGAAAGTATCAAAGCCTCAGTCCACAGAGAAATGCACACAGCCTGTATTCAGAAACTGAGCCTTAAAACCAGCCGTCAGGACTTCTGGAACTTTGTGATGTCACAACAAAGCAGTCACCAAGCCCCGCCCACCTGGACCCACCATCCAAACCTTGCAGGATTTGGTTTCTCTGAGTGTTTTTACCTGAAATCTGCTATATTTTTATTGGATCACTCAGAAAACAGTCAGCCAATCAGAGGAGAGGCTCAGAGCTGTGCAAGAACCTCGCCAAAATAAAATTAAAAAAAAATTAATCAATTAAAATGTTGATTTAAATGAACCTGGTTCTTCAGACTCTGTCTTGCAGTTTGACATTGATGTCGTCAGTTTGTTTTATTATTATTATTATTATTATTATTACTACTATAATAATGATTTATTATTATATTATTTAATTACTTTGAAAAACAAAAATCTCTCACCTTTTCTGTGATAATTTAGCTGCTGGGAGTTTGACANAAGTGAACCTGGTTCTTCAGACTCTGTATTGCAGTTTGACATTGATGTCGTCAGTTTGTTTTATTATTATTATTATTATTACTACTATAATAATGATTTATTATTATATTATTTAATTACTTTGAAAAACAAAAATCTCTCACCTTTTCTGTGATAATTTAGCTGCTGGGAGTTTGACAAAACAACTCAAGGTCCACTTACTAGCTTTTTCTGGAGCGTCATCTCCATGTGATGGAGTATGATGAAGACACCGACCTGTTGTTACTAGAGCTGCAGAGAGAAGCCTGAGAGAGGAGATGTGAAACTATAATATAACTAACTAATATATCTTCTTATGGATCAACACATCAAAATAAAACACAGGAAGTGTAAAATATGGAGCATGATTCTTGGGAGACAAGGAAACAAAAGAAAAAGATGTTAATTAGAGCTGGTTGGACAAAGCTAAGCTAGCTGTTTCCAGACTTTATGCTAAGCTAAGCTAGGTCTGTAGGAAAGCCAGTCACCAGGCATGAAAACAGTCCACACAGTCCACGTGTTCTGGTTCATTCCCTTTACTGACAGTCAATGTCAACAGTTCACATCACATAGAAGCAAGTTGTGTAGAAAACTATGCACATTCATATTTACATGTATAAACACAGTATGGCTTATGAAGGAAGCAGTCAGTGTCTCAGGTCCAAACACATTCAAATCTAACTCCACTAGTTTTAGGTCCAGACCCGTTTTCATCAACAACAACAACAACAACAACAACATCATCAACAACAACAACAACAGTGCGGCTCTGCTGGAAGACTTTCAGATCTAGTGGCTGCAGATCTATGACGGAGCACAGACGGTTTACTGTGAAAATCAGCTGTGAGGAGTGTAAACGATCAGTGACGTGTTGATCTGCTGGTGGGACTGAAAAACACAAACTGTGACACAATCTCAAAAAACCTGATTCCAGATGTGTTTGTCTACGGTGGCCCAGAGAGCTCAAACCACTGCAGCTGAGGAAAACACGTGTCAAACTCACACGACAGGAAGTGTTTCCAGGGGACACTGAGACGTAATGAACCAGGCTGGACACACTTGTTCACTGACCCATAGTGACCTTTGAGGTTAAAAGCTTTGATTAACAAGAGCGTCGCAGCAGGTTCATCACTTTTTATTCAGTCAGAGCGGCGGCCATTTTGTTTCCAGGTTGTCCGTCCGTCTCATTCTCGTGGACACGATATCTCTGTAACACCTCGACGGAATTTCTTCAGATTTGGCACAAACGTTCACTAGCAGTCAGGGATGAACTGATTAGATTTTGGTGGCTAAAGGTCAAAGGTCAAGGTCAGTGTGACCTCAAACAGCAATTATGAGAAAGTGTGACCGAAATGTTTAATATCTTCTCTGACTCTGGATAAACAGGAAGTGACCTGGAACTAGTCTGAGTGGCGGAGGGATACGACCACGAGGAGGTGGTTCTAGTTTTGCCTTAATTCCAAATGGAGGATGATATGGCCACAAAGATCCACGGGTTGGACTTCAATCCGGGCCACACTATGATTACACCTCCACGCTTGTGTCCGGTGGAAACACTTCCGTTGTGTTGTAGGACTGAATTTGTAGAGTTTGTTTGTTTGTTTGTTTGTTTGTGTTGTCAAACTGATGAAGATTTGTTCTGAATCTGTTTGTGTTGTGACTGTTTACATCTGTTCGTGAAGTCTCAGTGCGTTGAGCTTCAGGGCCACTGTAGTCTGTGACTCACAGTGACGCTCGGCTGCATTTCTGTCACTTCACTGTCAGAGCGAGCTGAGCTCCCTGTCCTGATGCTGCGTCCATCGCCATGGAAACAGCTTGTTGTTGCTGCTGCATGAAAACTCAACAGGGCAGTTTTTAACTTTGGCAGCAGCGTTTAGTGACGTGAAGTTCAGTGTCAGTGGTGTTGGTTTGTTTTCAGCCTAAAACTTTTAATTTTTTTAATAATTCAGTTCCTACAGTTTAATATTAAAGAGATTTATAATTTTATTGTTCTGCTGAAAATGAATCAGAGCGATTTTCAGAGAGGAAACGCAGCTGTACAGCAGCTGTCTGCTGTTCCAGGTGTGACCTCAGGTGTGGATCATCCCACAGGAGTTTACAGAGATGTTTACATCCACCTGTTTTTATCTGTATCTTCAAATTGACCAGAAAAAAACAAACAACAAAAAGGTACAATAAACAATAAAAATTTGAAAAAAAAAAATCTTGAAAAATAAAAAAAAAGCCTTTTTATTCTCCGCGGGGATCGGCTCCAACAAACGAGCTCCTCATGCTGCAGGTAACTGACGACCTCACACACCCACAACTACACCTTCACACAGCGTCATCACTGATCCCTGCTGAGCTCTCACTCTGATTCTACCTTCACTTCAACAAGCTGAAACCAGTGAATTCATGATGATTATAAAGTGATTAATTAAATGATTAATGCTGATGGACTGTTCAATGAATGCACTGAGCTGCACAGGGAATCGAACCCTCGACCCTGGCAGTGTTCTACCTTTAGTGTTGTCACTACATGATATAAAAGCTGCGTGTAAATATATTAAATCAGCTGTTTATTGCCTGAATGTCTAATAAAGTTGGTTTCTATGACTACAGTCACGTGACTCTTTAAACAGAGTGATGAACTTCCTGCTTCAACATTCATGACGTGGACGACGAGCTGAGCAGCACCTGACAGGTGTGAGATCTCCAGGTGGTCGGAGAGGAAACTGACCTGCACGTTTTCCCTCCTCTCACCTTCTGAGGCCACGCCCCCAAGCGGAGGCCCCCGGGGGGAGGCCCCCAGGGGGAGGCCCCCGAGCGGAGGCCCCCGAGCGGAGGCCCCCGAGCGGAGGCCCCCGAGCGGAGGCCCCCGGGGGCCAAGGCACCAAGCAGTTTTTTTTTTGTTTGTTTTTTTGTTGTTTTTTCTGGTTTGGTGCGGCGGATCTCAGCCGGTGCCGTGGCTGCCGTACTCGAAGACGCCCTTCTTAAAGAACGGCGAGAACTCACAGATGGCGTGTTTGGACAGGTGGAAACCGCCGTCGGCGTCGGTCCTGAGAGGAGAGCCGGAGGACGACAGCATCACCCGGAACAGGTTCCTCAGGTAACGCTGGAGAAACAACAACACAAAGTGACTCCATGATGATGTTTCTACTCATCACATCAGTTTCATTTCATACGACACGATATCTCAGTAAAACCTCGACTGAACGTCTTCAAATTTAACACAAGTGTCCACCGGGACTCAAGGACGGACTGATTAGACTTTGGTGGCTAAAGGCCAAAGGTCAGTCTGACCTCACAAAACACTTTTTAGCCATAACTCAAGACTTCACAGCGATTGGTCGGAGGGACACGACCACGAGGAGGTGATTCCAGACGATTCTTATACCTGTTAATAAACCCAGATTTAAATCTCATACCTCCAGGTGATTCCGGCGTTCAGCGACCATCCGCTCGTCTCTGTTTCCAAACAGCTTCTTGGGAGGGAACTCCAGAGCTGCCAGCTGAGACAGAGACATCACATGCCTTAGTGACACGTCCGTCCAGGTGAAGTCTAACAGTAAACAGGTGAATCACATGATCTCACCTCTGGATATTTCAGTTTGAGGCTCTTGTGCATTTCCCGGAAGCGACTGTAACGTCTGAACACAGTCCAGGTCTCGTCCATCACAGTGATCTGATGCAGGAGAGAGAGCGGTTTGTAACACACACACACACACACACACACACACACACACACACACACATATATATTAATGACTTATTATTTTATTATTATTCCATCTCATTTTACATGAATGTTTTTAATGTTTTTCCTGTCAGTGCTTTTAACATGTTTTCATGTTCATTTTATGTCTTTTCATGTGAAGAACTTGGTGCTACATTTCTTGTATGAAAGGTGCTGTACAAATAAATGATTATTATTATTATTAATATTATTACTAACACTATGAGGCTCCTTTTACCACTTACAAATGTAAGTAACTCTTCAGTCAGATTAATGAGTAGGAAGCATTAACTTGATCTTGCCAAATAGTGAGCCTGCATCAATGTCTGAAAACGGTTAGAACTTGTTTATAATGGTTTATTGATGATTTACTAAGTGTTAACAACCAAGTTAATAACCTAATTATAAACCATTTATAAATCCTTTATGAGGGTAATCTTATTGTGAAGTGGAACCCAATTTTCTACAAGAACAGTTCATCCTTCAGTTTATCTGAACAATTCAACACCAAAAATGGAAAGTCAAGTAAAGTACAAGTACCTCAAATGTATGAGTACATGTACTTAGTTACTTTCCTCAGCTGCACATAAGAAGGTCAAACTGGAAGTGAATGAGCTGAACAGACTCACCTTCACCTCGAACTCAAAGTGCTCGTCCTTCCCCTGCCCGCGGAGAACGTAACGAGGAATGCTAATTTTAACGGGCTCCTGGAGTCCGTCGGCGCTTGTCCCGAGAGGACGAGAAACCAAGTGCTGCAGAGGAAGTCATCGGGGGAGAGGAACAAAACAGGAAACAGGAAAAGAGAAGAAGAAAAGAGGTGGAGTAAAGGTTTGAAAAAAATTACAAGAATTGTGGTGAATTAGTTGCTGAACTTGATTTTAGCAGAAGCTGAGAATGATTTACACGACAGAACACAAGTCAAGTCATACACAGTTTAATCTTTATTATTCTGTTTACACACTTCACACTGTATCAAATTATAAGGCACATTAATTAAACATTATTAAAGATTACATTTCGTTTGTAATCATTTACCATCAGACAAAACCTCACATTTTCTTCAAGTCATCAGGTCACAGTAAATTTGATGTAATAACCACAAGACCAAAAATGAAACAGGAATAAACAAGAATCGTCAACATGGCTAAAAAGAGTCGTAAACAGAAAAACTTTCATACAAAGAAACTGTTTTTATCTTCATCCATTCGTTATGACTGCGTATCAACTACAGGGATTACAGTTAATACATGTCAACATGGACGGCTCTTCTTTAACTCACAAGACAATCCTTCCCACGAAATCACACAATCACATGACAAATGACACGTTTAAAAGTGTTTTAAATATTTAAAAAGAACTTTCAGATGTCTCTGTTTCACTTTGGCACGATGACAAATCTCCTTTTCAGACTCGTTTTCCCATCAGATGGCGATAACTTATTGAACACATCCTAAAATAAATGAAGCCTCTGATCATTTCTTTTAAAGAGGAATGAAAATGAGGAAACAGGTGAGTCTGCTGCATCCGTACGTGACCTCAGGTAAAGTCTGCCATCAGGTGTGTAACTCAGGTACACAGATGATTGATAAAGATCAAAGCTTCTGAGGTACAACCAAAGCATAATTTCCAGGAATCGCTCCGATGACTGTAATCAGAGGCGGAGGGCACTTCAGCCGAGCCGAGCCCAGACTCCGCCTTCTTCTCTCGAGTCTGCGGTTTGTGGGTTGTAAACACGATTTCTACCACCAGGCAGTTGTCGCTCTGCCTCACGACCAGGCATCTGATGTCCGATCGCTTGCGGAGTTCAAGTCCCTGAAACTGGGGCTGGACGGGGACCAGGCTAGAGCCCCGCGGCGCCGGGTGAAAGACGCCGTCCTCATGGAGAAGAGCTACGTGCGTGTCCGTCAGGAGGAACTGGAAGATGGCATCCTGACGCGCTCGGGTGGAGTTCTTGACCTTGACACTGCTGTAGAGCAGAGGACAAACATCAGCCAGGGAAGGTTTGCCGGGACCGTCCATGTTCCCGTGGACGATGTACAGCAGGTCTGCGAGGACCCGCTTGAACCTGGAGGTGACCTGGAGGCCGCTGTCCAGGATGATGTCAGGAACACTTGATGTCCAGTCCAGAGAGAGGACCATGAGGTCTTTAGAGAGTAACGGGTGATTTCCAGTCCCTTCAGAGAACCGTTCAGGAGCAAGAGCCTTCAGTAACGCCCTACAGAACTCCTGGGTAAGCTCTTTGCTGTGAGTGAAGACGACCAAGACAGCATCTTCGGTGCAGCCAAGTAGGCGGACATGCTGCCCTGCCAAACTAATCTGGACCGTCTTGATTTCAAAGAGATTAAAATGGCGAAAAAGAGCCAAGGAATCCTCAGACTCTGTGCCGGCCGAGACGACTGTTATATCCCTTTCAGACAAAAGCAAGCACCCGGGTTTGGGGATGGGTCTCTGACTGTTGGCGGTTTTGAGCCAGAAGATACTCAGAGGTTTTCCAACTTGAACTTGAGGAGACAGAGATTCCAACTTTTGTAATATCTCTGGGGAGGAAAGCGTCTGTAGCTGAGACAAGGCTGGTGGCAGCTCGACCAGCCTCTGATAAAACACTTGAGGACTTGTGTTTTTGAAAGAGGACACGGATCCCTCGGGTCGTCCTGAGACGCCGGGGGTCACAGACTCGCCGGTGTTCTGATGAAGACTAAGGGCGCGATCCCTCGACAGATCAACCAAACTGACTTTGTTTGCTGCCCGCATGCAGGGTTCAGGCTGTGGTTTTAGCTGCGTGCGATGAATCAGTGGCAGCTCGTTGGACATCATGGTCACGTACTGAGAGAGTACGACCTTCATCTCACCTGTTCCAACATTTCGAATGATGTCCCGTGTGCCTTGTAGCCTCCGACCGGCGTCTTTGTACGCTTCAGACAGTTTTCCAGTGAAATATCCTAAAACGTAACTCGCGTTGGTCGCCACCTTCTCAGCTTCTGCGTCTGTCTCTCGTTTTATTTGACCATTTACACATTCCTTCGACTTCTGCTTGGACGTGACACAACCATTGACCGAGTCTTGGGACTTTGACAATTGATCACTGGGAAGTTCTGCATCTTCTACTGCCCCTGGGTCACATGTTTGATGTTTGACATTTGAGCGTCCATTAACAAGCAACTCCTTTGGTCTATCTTCAACCTTTTCATCATCAGGAACACAGCCGGCAGAATCAGTTCTTCTTTTATCAGCGATATTCTCGTTTTCATCGAATCTGTTGCTCTTGGTTTTTGCAGAGTTGACGCAAAATAACTCGTCTTGTCCAACATCACGACCAAGTTCACAAACAGCTCGGCCCTCTTCTCGTAAAGGGATATTCACCCCTGCGTGCCACCCTGTGTTTTTGCCACCATCTTTGTAAGGCACTTCTTTTCCAATTAAGACTTCAGCTGTGGATACCAGTGTTTCTTCTCTGGGAAGCTTTAAGACGACGTTTTCAGCTTCTTCTGATGCGTTTTGCTCGACCTTAGGAGGAGAGTTTGCCTCAAGCTCCGTTGCAGAAAGGGACCTAGACCACAACCTGCAGGCTCTCTGTGTACACAAGGGGGGGGAGGGGGAGTCCATGACTACAGAAGGACGTGAAGGCTCTCTGAATTATACTCAAGTCCATAATTCACCCCAATGAGAATTACAGTTCCACCATCACCAGGTGCACAGGTGGGTCGTTAAGTGATTCAAAATTAAAAGTGAAGAGGTTTGACATGCAAATTAAGTGTCTTTCTGAGAACTTTAAAGTCCAATCAAACGTGGGAAAAGTAGCACTTGCAGATGATTATGATTGATCCCTTCTTGGCGACTGGATGGATGGTGTTTAAAGAATTCTTAAGTTTTGTTTTTAAGCCTATTGCTCAGACTCTACTCTCGTCTCGTTGCAAGTTATTTCACTGGATGAAAAAAAGCATCTGCAAATGCTGTTTTCCCAATGTTTGTTTCCATATTGGACTGTGAGCTGAAACATGACATTTTTTGATAATTTCAAGATGTTTTGTTGTCTGTTTAATATTTTCAATGCAAAGGTTTGTTTATCATCCTAAATCAGAGAATGAGCTTCCTGTCCACGGTTCTTCACAGTAAGGAGTAGAACCAGCTTTAACTTTCAGAGTTCCCAAATTTTCAAGACCCGCACACAAACCGCAAAATTTTCTGTCTCAACCTTTGACTCATGCTTTCAAAATAAAAGTCAAACCAAACTTGAGTGACTAATATTAGTGACTGGAATGATAACGAAATGTGACATTTGTTTGGAAACTCTGAAGATTTAAAATGGAAACCCATCCTTTAAAATTACATTTAATTTCTAAAATTATAAGGAATCATGTTCAGACTCTGAAACGAAAACGAAGCAGGAACAGATTTTTAATGATTGATTATTGAATTGAACTGTAAAGATACTGGTCTTACCTCATATTTATGTCTCCTTGGATTAATGTTCTTCAGCTTTTCATCGTCCTGAAAAGAATAAAACTGAACATCAGTTGATGATCTCAGTATCATTAAATATAAACTGAATTTGCAAAATAACAAGCAGCATTTTTTTAAAGTAATAATCAAAGGTTATAAATTCTACTTCATGATGGCGGGAAAAGGGGAAGAAATTAAACAAAACCAGGATTAAAAAAAAGCTAGGTGGAGAGGAACCCAGTGAAAATAAGAAGAAACCAAACTGATTGATAGAAGAGTCGATCCAGAACCATACTGGGGGAAATCATGCAGATTACAGAGGAGGGAAAGTCTTATTGTGACATGAAGAGCAGGTGGATCCTGGTCTTACCTCATCTGTTAATCTAACAGAGCTACAGTCGCTAACTTCCTCCTCCTCCTGCAGGGTTAAAGAGCTAAAGATCAGTTCTCACAACCTGTCACTGGACCTGATGCATTTCTCTTTTCACTGTTCGAGGATAAATAGTAGAATTGAACCTCCAGATGATGGATGCTAGAATATAAAAGCCCCCCAGCAGCTCTGTTGAAGGAGCTGTGAGTTGTGCCTCTAAGTGTTTGACCGGCCACTTTCTCTCTCTTATTTAAAGACTTATAGTTCAGAATTTATAGACGTGTTTTCTGTCCATAATTACAAACTGAGCACATGACATGTTCAGAATCTATTAATCAATGATTATTCTCTCAATTTATTGTCTATAAAATGTCATTACAGTGTAAAAAACACAAGTTATAATCTCCCACAGTCAAGACATTCAGTTTACCAACATGTATAACAAAGAAAAGGATCAAATTCTCTCATCTGAGAACCTAAGAACTGAAACTGATAATCGATTATCCAAATTGTTGCTGATCAATTTTCTGTCGATTGACTAACTGACTAATTGATTAATTGTTGCAGCTCCACAGATCACAATTATTGTTTTGGAGCAAAAACTTCAAACCTGATGGAATTTAATTTAGACTTTAAGGCTGCAACTAATGATTTGTGTCCTTTTGATTATTCTGCACATTAATTGATCGGACGTAGGTTTGTCCACGCTGACGTGTTTTTGTCTGACCAACCAAACACAGACATAAAAACACATTTTCACATTTAAGAAACTCAAAAAACAATTTGGCATTTTTGTTTGAACAACGACCTGAACTATAAATCAATTATCTAAATAGTTTCTGATGAATTTTCCGTCACGGTGTCAGGACGCACAGAACGAGTGGAGGTCTGTGCACATCTGGTCTGAACGTACAGCGCCTTAATAAAACCCCACAGGTTAAAAACAGTGACAGAGGGATGGAGAGTGGGACGGGCCTCACCCGGAGAGATTCACAGGACAGAGACAGATCCATGCTGCTGCCGCCGTTCAGGAGGTTCATCTTGCGTAACCTCCGCTGGACTTCCTCTTCGATGTACGCGTTTATTCTGTGACAAATATGGATGACGCAGAACCAACATTAAAAACAACTCAAACAACTTGATGAGAAGCTTAACATTTAAATATGTGATGGACAGATCGAGACTGTATTCTTCCTCTATTCACAGTATCAGAGACAATAACAAACTAATGGCTCCAGCGTGGGGGAGTATGAACATTCATTAGCAGGTACTCAGCTGTTAATCATTAGGATATTTCCAAGAAAGGAATAAGAAATTTTATAACAAAAATGGAGAAAGTTTTATTTGTTATTCAGTTATTCTGAACAATTAATCCAAATATAACCGACCAACATCCAAATCACAGGAGCTGCACTTTTTCTGATGAAGGTAAAATGTGTCACATTGTTGTGCATTGTTAGCATTAGCACTGTTAGCATCAGCACTGTTAGCACCATCAGTGTTGTGGTGCTACAGAGACGGTCTACAAATCTATTCTCCAGACGTAAAGGAACATAAACAATCATGTTCCAGACCCAACAAACATCACATCGTCCTCATTTTTCATTTTATCTGTGAAAATATAAAGAAAGAAACAACCAGTCAAACTGAAATCACAACTTGAGTTTTTTTATCGTGCAGCTCAATCATTATACGAGTTCTCCTAGTGTTATTTGAGTTTTTCACAATAAATAAATGTAGCAGTGAAAAATAACTGGTAAACAGATGTTAATGTGCATCAGTATGGAAGAGGATCAGGGTCACGTGAATTTTTTTATTTTATTCTTTGTTTAATAATTCTGAGTAAAAACTCCGGTAGCCCCAAAAGACAAATGACAACTTTTTTTTTTTTTTGACTGAATCATTTTTCTAAGTTTAAAAGAAAACCCATCGAGGGGGAAGTGATTGTCTTTTTGAGTATTTTTCTAAGTGTCTGCGTTTGTAATACTGATTTCGGCCACAAGAGGGTGAAGTGCACCACTGCTCCAGTCTAAACCTGACTAAAAGCCTTCATGTTTCCCTCTGGGTCATGTTTAATTTCTCCACGCACTAACACAAGGTTCATATAAAGTTCTGTCACGTTACTGTTCCATCTCTTGGCTATAATGTATTTACGCTTCAGGAAGTCAGTTTTCATGTGGCCCTGATCCTCTTCTGTACATCAGACTCCTAGAAAGACCAACCAATATTTGTAAAGTGTTGATTGTCAGGTAATCTGGGGAAAGTATGAGGAAATAAAGTGTTTCCTGCAGACACTGCTTTCCCCTGAGCGGGGCGACCTGAACACAGGTGTGTGTGTGGCGCACCTGTCGTCCGACAGCGGCAACAGCGTGTTCAGACTCTGGATGTGGCTGACCGGGGAGCTGCCGTGACTCGTTTTCTCCTCGTTACTGATGGAGTGAGTCCTGTTGTTCTCCTCCCCTTCGCTGATCCTCTGCCTCAGCTTCTGGATCTCCTGCTCCACCCTGGAGAAAAAACTGCTGATTTCTTCTGACCTTTTATTTCTGTGGCTGTTTAATTAATAATAATTTGATCATTTATTAATTTGATCTTCTTTTAATGCACAATGGTTATTTATCTCCAGTGTCGTTATGTACCGATGTTTCTTGTTTTATTTGTGATTGAAGAAAAGTTTATTGAGATAAAGTGTTGAAGCTTAAACTGCCCCCCCCCATCATTACAGCCTCTAATAACTCGACAATCTGCCTGTGACATTTTAAAACAATTACCTCATTACTCATGAACATGTATATGTTCTATATGTTCTACATGTTCTATATGATGCATGTTCTATATGTTCTACATGTTCTATATGATGTATGTTCTACATGATCTATATGATGTATATGTTCTACATGATCTATATGATGTATATGTTCTACATGATCTATATGATGTATATATTCTACATGTTCTATATGTTCTACATGTTCTATATGATGTATATGTTCTATATGTTGTATATGTTCTACATGTTCTATATGATGTATATGTTCTACATGTTCTATATGATGTATATGTTCTACATGATCTATATGATGTATATGTTCTATATGATCTATATGATGTATATGTTCTACATGTTCTATATGATGTATATGTTCTACATGATCTATATGATGTATATGTTCTACATGATCTATATGATGTATATGTTCTACATGTTCTATATGATGTATATGTTCTACATGTTCTATATGATGTATATGTTCTACATGATCTATATGATGTATATGTTCTACATGTTCTATATGATGTATATGTTCTACATGTTCTATATGATGTATATGTTCTACATGATCTATATGATGTATATGTTCTACATGTTCTATATGATGTATATGTTCTACATGATCTATATGATGTATATGTTCTACATGTTCTATATGATGTATATGTTCTACATGTTCTATATGATGTATATGTTCTACATGTTCTATATGATGTATATGTTCTATATGTTCTATATGATGTATATGTTCTACATGATCTATATGATGTATATGTTCTACATGTTCTATATGATGTATATGTTCTACATGATCTATATGATGTATATGTTCTACATGTTCTATATGATGTATATGTTCTACATGATCTATATGATGTATATGTTCTACATGTTCTATATGATGTATATGTTCTATATGTTCTATATGATGTATATGTTCTACATGATCTATATGATGTACAGTATATGTTCTATGTTCTATATGATGTATGTTCTATATGTTCTATATGATGTATATGTTCTACATGATCTATATGATGTATATGTTCTACATGATTTATATGATGTATATGTTCTATATGTTCTACATGATCTATATGATGTATGTTCTATATGATGTATGTTCTACATGTTCTATATGATGTATATGTTCTAAATGATCTATATGATGTATATGTTCTACATGATGTATGTTCATATGTTCTACATGTTCTATATGTATGTTCTACATGATCTATATGATGTATATGTTCTACATGATGTATATGTTCTATATGATGTATGTTCTATATGTTCTACATGTTCTATATGATGTATATGATTATGTTCTACATGTTCTATATGTTCTACATGATGTATTTGTTCTATATGTTGTATATGTTCTACATGTTCTATATGATGTATATGTTCTACATGTTCTATATGATGTATATGTTCTATATGATGTATATGTTCTATATGTTGTATATGTTCTACATGTTCTATATGATGTATATGTTCTACATGTTCTATATGATGTATATGTTCTACATGTTCTATATGATGTATATGTTCTACATGATCTATATGATGTATATGTTCTATATGTTCTACGTGTTCTATATGATGTATATATAGTATGCATTATATATATTGTATGTGCTCTGACCTCTGCTGGTCCAGGTCCGTCCCCCTCAGGTTCCTCTGGACCGAGCTCTTGTGTCTCTGCTCCTCGGTGTCGGGCTCCAGGGAGACGCTGCGCCTCAGGGCCGAGTGCCTCCTCTCCAGCCGGGCCACCGCCTGCTCCATGGCCTCCCTCTGCTGCTTCTCCTTCGACTCCAGGATCTCCTTCTCCTTCCTCCTCACCTTCTCCTCCTGCCGGGCCACGTTGGCCGTGAACTCGTAGGTCTCCTGCAGCTGCTGCAGCTGCTGAGCGCTGTGCCAGTGGAGGTTCAGCTTCTCCTCCTTGTCCTCCAGCTCCTTCTCCACCTGGTACAGCGTGTTGTCCAGTCCCGGCGGACTGTCGCAGTTCCCGTTGCTCCCTCCGCTGCTGCGCTCCAACATCTCCACGGCTCTCTGCTTCTCCTCGGCCAGCGCGGGGAGGAGGCCGTCGGCCAGGCTGGCCAGCTGCCGCTCCTTGAACTGCAGTCGGTGCTCCGCCTGTTTGACCAGCTGCTCCTCCTGGCACACAGCTGTGGCGTCCTGCGCCCCCTTCTCCTGCGTCTCCTTCAGCTGCTGCTGTCGTTCTCTGAGGCCGTGGGCGAGGAGCAGCACTGTATTACGCTCAGCGGCGACCTCCTTCTCCAGGCGCTCCCTCTGCTGCCGCAGCCCCTCCTCCAGCTGACCCAGCTCCTTCACCTGAGCCGCCTTGAAGTCCGTGTATCGAGCCTGGGCAGACCGCGCCTCCTCGCCGGAGTCCTCCACATCCGGCCGCTCTCCGGTCTCTTTGGCACGGAGGAGCTCTCCTCGGATCTCGGCCAGCGCTCGGCGCTCCTCCTCCAGGCGGCGGGCGTCCTCCCGGGTCAGCAGCGTGGTGGCGGCCTCGTGTTTCTCCCTCAGCTGCTCCTCCAGCCTCCCCACCAGGCTCAGCTGCTCCCGCTCCTCCTCCTCCAGCCGCCGCCGCTCCACCTCCAGACGAACCTTCTGCTCCTCGCGCTCCCTCTTCAGCCTCTCCAGCTCACGATAGATCTCCGTCTGCTCTGCAGCCTCCTGCTGCAGCCGCTGCTCCTCATCCTGCTTCTCCTCTGCCTCACCCTCCTGCTGCTGGTTCTGCCGCTGCCGCCTCTGGAGCACCTCCCCCGGGACCTCGGAGCGCCTCTCCTCCTCGAAGCGCTCCTTCTCAGCCAGGAAGTCCCGCAGGCGGCTCTCGATGTCCTGGCTGCGGCGGCGGAGGCTCTCCTCCTGACGGAGGATTCGCTGCTGCACCTCCTCAGACTCTTTCCTCTGACTCTCCACCTCCTGCTGGAGGCGCTCCAGCTCCGCCTTCTCACTCTGCTGCTTCGCCTCCATCTCATTGATCAGCCTCCTGCAGCAACACACACACACACACACACACACACACACACACACACACACATTAATTAACGGTGATGTGACAACAACTGGATTTTTGGTCACATGGTATGTCCCACCATCTCCATGACGACTGAGCGGACTCGATTTGTCTGACTATTATTTGTGCGAACAGATCGACATCATCTGTAAAATAAACAACAGGTCGGAGAGCCAATCAGAGGAGAGGCTCAGAGCCTCCTCTCTTCTGATTGGCTCCACAGATGTAAAACCAGACTGAGATGGTTCTTGTTCTCTCAGGACAGAAGGTCAGAGTTTAACGATGGGACGGAGCAAGGAACAAAAAGACATTTGAGTCTGTTGCTACATTTGGAGGAAACTTCGACTCTTGTACCTTTTCAGCTCCAGTTTCTCCAGCTCCTCTCGCTGCTGCCGCTCAAACTCCAACCTGGAAAACAAACACCTCCGTCAGCGTCCTCCGCCCTCACCAGAGGAGGAGTCACACACGAGACACCACAACTACTGACGCAGGTGACGCAGCACATGTACAACGACAAGCTGCAGATGAAATGTAGAAAGGCAGTGTGAGGAAAAAGTTTTCTATTGGAACAGAGACAGAAGCAGCAGGATGACGTGCAAAACAACAACAACAACAACAATAATAATAATAATAATAATATGATGATGATGATGATAAAACACAAAGACAGACAATGAGGGTTCAGGTCGAGAGACTGGACGAGTCTTTGTGTCAAACACGGGACAGTTAGACAGGAAGTGGACGGCTGAGTCTACCTGAGGAAGACGGGGCCCTTCTCAGTGAAGAGACTGTGGACAGGACGGGGGGCAGAGTTAGTCCCAGCAGGGAACAGAGAACAGGAAACTGTTTAATAATCTGAACCTCTGCAGCTTCTTCTACAAGAAACAAACTAATGTTCACGACGTGTGACAGTTAATCTGGGCCTGATGGAGCAGACGGTGATCAGCAGGGTTCATCCTCTGGAGACGTTTCACAGAAAACGTCATAGCAACTAGACATCAGACACAGCTGACAGAGAGAGGGTGCGTCCTCTGGGGAGCGGGACAGAGCTCAGTAAATATCATGAAGACCAGGTCCCGTATTCACAAACCATCTTAAGACTAAAAGCTTCTCCTCACTCGCAGATTCAGGAGAAACTCCGATGGTGTCAGTCCCGACTTCAGGACATTCACAAAGACACGGAGCGCTGACAGCAGATCAGTGTCTTCACTGACAGCAGATCAGTGTCTGGGAGCAGCTATCAGACTCACTGACAGCAGATCAGTGTCTGGGAGCAGTTCTCAGACTCACTGACAGCAGATCACACAGACTCTCAAAGAGCTGCCGCCACAGCTCCGGACACTTTCCACCACGCTGAATCATGAGACGACTCAGTGAGAGGGAGGGAGGATCTCTCTGAACTCTTAGTGGAAAGATAAAATGCTTTGTGAATACAGGCGCTGATCAATAGATGTATTGATGAAGGATCGATGGAGGCCATGAAGTCATCAGGGTTCATCCCCACAGTCACTTTACTCTGAAAATCAATGTGTTTTATGAAGTTGTGTCTGAATCTGAAGTGACTCCACTTTCTTTAAATGTTTGTCAGTGCTGCAAACTGAGTGGATCAGCTGACCAGGACCCTGACCTCTGACCTCTGTGTTTACAGAGGTCAGAGGTCAGAGGTCAGGGTCCTGGTGGGGAGGTTGATGCGGGGGGGGGCACTGCAGCGTCCGAGCTGATCGTTACATGCAGCTGAAGGCGACTCTGGACTGACGCACTCACCCGGGGTTGTAGAGCATCACGGTGGACAGGTTCTCACAGGACTTGGACAGATCCGTCATGGACAGACTGAAGGTGGAGAGCAGGCCGCTCTGAGGGGGAACAGGTCAGAGGTCAGAGGTCATTAACAGGTTGTTTCACAGTCAAAGTTGTCTTTCTACTTGAGCCATTTAAGTCTTTAAATATTTGAATGTGAGACACAAAGATCCCGACAGCAGACTGAGGCTTTCACACCTTTCGTTTCTCCCTCAGCTTGGCCGCCTCCTTCGGATGGTTGAAGCGGAACATGTTGGTCCTGCCGAGCAGAATGACGGCGCCTGGACGACCACAGAGCAAACGCTTCATCAACACGTTTAAACTCACAGAGCAGGTTAGAGACAGAGACGTTAAGACCAAATGATCCTGGCGTTCCCTCCTCACCTTGGTTGAGCTGCGACGGCTCCGTCACCTGGACTCCGTTCACCGAACACTGAGCTCCGCCCAGAGGAACCAGGGTCACCGTGCCGTTCTGGTTCTCAAACATACAGTGTTCACTCTCCAGGTCCAGACCGTGAAGGACTGTGGGAAAAAAACAGAATGACTTTCATCTGTTTATTCAGAGGAAACATGAACCACCGCTGTCAAATCTTGTAATGATTTCTATGTGAAGTGACCTTTGACCTTTGGCCACCAAAATCTAATCAGGTCATCCTTGAGTCCTAATGAACGTTTGTACCAGACTTGAATAAGTTCCTTCAGTTTGTTTGTTAGTTTGACGTCTCAGAAACTACGTGACAAAACCTCCATGTGACTGTGTGCGTTCCCATGATGCAACAGCAGCTCACTCACTGATGTCCTGCTCTGTGGACGCGTCCTCTCTGCCCACATACGTCCGTCCCTCCTGAGGACGAAGGAAAACAGAAACGTCACAACAGGACACGCCCCTCTGCTCAGGTCACTTCATTTCTGACGCCAACATCCGTCATCAACAGATAAACCTTCCTTCTCTCTGTGTCGTGAAGAAAACATGTTTAAAAAGACTTTTCTGGGGTTTCAGGGAAACTGTTAAAGTTCCTCCAGTGTAAAGGTGTGTGTCCATGTGTAGTGTGATTATAGATCAGCTCTAGCTTCTATATTAATACTGTGAAAGTATCAAAGCCTCAGTCCACAGAGAAATGCACACAGCCTGTATTCAGAAACTGAGCCTTAAAACCAGCCGTCAGGACTTCTGGAACTTTGTGATGTCACAACAAAGCAGTCACCAAGCCCCGCCCACAAAACGCTCTGTTCTTGGTAAAACTCGCCACAGTATATCTTCTTATGGGTGTCAGAACTTAAATAAAAGTGGGACCTTTGAATAAACAAAAAATAATAGTTTTAGGCTTTAAGAATAAAATTAAAAATTACAAACTTGATAAGACATCTTTTCACTGATTGCTTCTTATTAATATGAAATGTTATAAAATATTTTATTAAAAACCCAAACATTAAAAGTATTTTTTTTTTAAATCTACCGTTATTTTCAATACATTTTCTAAAACGTTTTAAAAGAAATCCTAAATTAAAATATTTCCTAAATGTTTAAACAAGTGGACTTCTGATTGGCTCCTGACCTGTTGTTACTAGAGCTCCAGAGAGAAGCCTGAGAGAGGAGATGGAAACTACACTGAGATGGTTTTTATATCTTCTGATGGATCAACACTTGAAATAAAACACAGAAGAAGAAACATGGAGCTTTAAACTTCTTTCAGTGTCGTTTATAAAACACCCTGATGGAGGCCTGAAGACTCTAGAAAATATAAATACTGTTCACAGGCTAAATGATATATCACTTCAACACTCTTTAAGGACGAAGCAAACTGGACCCCGTCTCTGTGCAGCAGGTGACCTCTGACCTTCAGATGGTACAGGATGATGCCGGTGCTGAGCAGGTCGTCGTCGATGCCGATGAGGTGAGGCAGCTCCGAGTCCAGGACCACGCCGATCCCCTCTTTCCTCAGAGCCAGAGTCTCCTCCTGCAGACACGCCACTGTTCAACCACTTTCATTTCAACCGCTTCACATCGACTCAGCGCCGTGTGGAAACTCACGAGGAACATCGACATGGAGAGTTTGTCAGAAGAGAAACGAAGGATGAGATATTCCTCTATCAGTCCCACAGAGGGGAACGCTTCAGTGTCGCAGCAGCAAAGTGACAGTACAAAGAAAAATGATATAATAATATGTACAATTTAAATACTTCGAAATAATATTATCCACAATCCTTTGACCCCCAAAAGTTCCCTCAACGTGTCCACGAGAATGAGGCGGACGGACAACCTAAGAAACAAAATGGCCGCCACTCTGCCTGTCGCCGGGCGGAGGAATACAAACCCTGACGTCTGGAGGTCGACACACAAACACAAGCTTCTTACCTTGAGGATGTTCTGTGTCTCGTTCCACTTGTTGGTCCATTCTTTCGTCAGCTCCAGAACCTGAACACAGAGTACCACACGTCAGATCACATGACCTTCAGCCGCTGAACGGAGAGCGGCAGGTGAAGACACTGAACGGACTCACTCTGGCTTCGTTCTGGTGCAGTTTCTCCTCCATGCTCAGAGCGGTGGGCGAATCCAGGAGAGCGATCTGACAAACAGACACACGGGTCAGAGACAACGTCCTCGCCCGTCACACAGCGTGGCGGTATTTAGTTTCTCCTGTCAGAGGTCGTTTACCTGGTTACCCTGAACCAGCAGAGCCTTCAGCCGGGCGATTTCAGCCCGCAGTTCTCTGATCAGCCGGACGTTGGCGTCCTCGTTGATGGTCGGCTTGTTGATGATGTTCTTGGCTCGGTTGGCGTAGCGCAGAGTGCTGAGGGTCTCGCCGTAGTTGACGTCGGCGGGGGAAACGGCTGCGACAGGAAGCCATTTTAACAGATTTACATCATATACTTGTGTGTATAGATACACAGATACTTTATTTAGGGTTAGGTGTGTGTGTGTGTGTGTGTGTGTGTGTGTTGGCTGCTCACTGGCGATCATGATGGTCTTGGCGTTGCCGCCCAGGCTGTCTTTGAGCAGCCACGTCAGCACAGAGTCTCTGTAGGGAACGAACACCGACTTCTTCTTCAGGTTGGTGTTCACGCCGTCCTGCGTCATGTCGGCTGCACAGGAAACACACGTCAGTCAGTCACATGACCGGTGTCAGCTCTGATCATCACACTCATGTTCTGACTGAAATTCATCGTCGTTTAAAGACATTTCATAAACTGTGATTGTGATTAAAGTTTACTGTTTTTTTTTTAACCCGGTCTTTATTTGTCACATGACAACAGGTGTGAAACGCTTCCAGCTCCCAACAGGGCAAATGACTGAAAAACTAATGTGAAAAACATAATGAAATATTTTTAACAAACAGAAAACGCAGAGAGAGAAACATTAAAGTGAATTTAAAGCTCCATGTTTCTTCTTCTGTGTTTTATCTGAAGTGTTGATCCATCAGAAGATATAAAAACCATCTCAGTGTAGTTTTACATCTCCTCTCTCAGGCTTCTCTCTGCAGCTCTAGTAACAACAGGTCAGTGAGCCAATCAGAAGAGAGGAGGCTCTGAGCCTCTCTTCTGATTGGCTGACTGTTTTCTGACTGATCCAATAAAAATATAGCAGATTTCAGGTAAAAACACTCAGAGAAACCAAATCCTGCAAGGTTTGGATGGTGGGTCCAGGTGGGCGGGGCTTGGTGACTGCTTTGTTGTGACATCACAAAGTTCCAGAAGTCCTGACGGCTGGTTTTAAGGCTCAGTTTCTGAATACAGGCTGTGTGCATTTCTCTGTGGACTGAGGCTTTGATACTTTCACAGTATTAATATAGAAGCTAGAGCTGATCTATAATCATGTGCAGAAACGTAAACATGGCGTCACTGAGGAGAGACGAGTCCAGGGTCTCAGTTTGTGTGTGGAACAGGAGAAAGGCTTCAGACACATGAAGAAGAGCGAGTGTGTTTCTGACCTAGAGCAGAGATGACGTTGCCCAGGGTGACCAGCGACTTGTTGATGTTTCCTCCTTCTTTCAGTCGGACGCCGGTGGCTCCGGTGGCGTCGGCCCGCTCGCTTCCTGCCAGGTCGACCAGGTGGATCTTACTGACGGTTTCACTGGGCATCTCTGCGTCAAACTTAGCCTGAGATTAAAGAATAAGACGTTATTAATGAGGACTTCCTGCTGTCACTGGGCAACACGTTTCACATTAAAACATCATTAGAGCGTCTCTGAACGTGACTTCAAAGTAAAAGATCATTTCTCTCTTTGTTTTCTGGAACTACTTTCTCAGCGGAGCTCGTTATTTCCTCTCTGAGGTCGCGAGTCGCCCCTGACCTGAGTGAAGTTGATGGTGAAGATGGCGTGGGAGCGGCTGCTGACGTCGTTCATGCCGGTGCTGGCGGTGGTGCGGTTGATGTTCCCGGCCTCCATCAGCTCCTCCACGTCGCTGTAGTTCTGCACCAGGTGTTTGGACAGATCTGAGATCAGGAGGGAGGAGTCACGTCACGATCAAATTGTTTCCTTTTTCTTATTTTACCGGAACATGTTTTATTTCCTTCTTTTGATTCACTTTAATGTTTTTATATTAGTTGTGTTTTGTGAAGCATCAGTAACTCACAGCTTTACATTTAACATACAATGTGTCATGAGACGTGGCAGGTTACCTGGAAACACCTGTCTGTCTCTGTCGACAGGTGTCACACAGCAGGAAGTTAAAGCTACGACCTGAACCATCTGAATTTAAAGAAAACTAGAAGCACAACACTGGAGCGCGGCCGAGGTCGTGGCGGTTTCACCTTCGACATAGGGGCCGTCCTTCGGGTGCTCCCGGACTCTCAGGTTGTAGGTCTGAGTGGATTTCCTCCTCAGCAGGTCTCTCACCCTCTCGTTGTAGATCTCCAGGTAGCTGCAGAAAAACAACATCAGTCTCAGCATCTCAGGTTTGTAGTTCGTTTTCCTTCAGTCTCATCTTTGTGCCTTCAAAATAAGAGCACGGCTCCTCATCAATACGTTTCCTCCTGATACAAAGTGGAAGTTACTTCCTGAACTTGTTAACTTCATAACAAGTTGATTATCAGGAGACAAGGATGTCTTTGTAATCCTGCTTTGGGTGCGAACGCTTGTGTTAGCACCATGAGAGTTGGTGACGCTCGACCTACAGATCACGTCTTCCTCCAGACATAAAGGAACAATCACATCATCATCATTTAAAAATAAATCTGAAAATTAAAAGCAAAAACGATCATTCCATCAAAAGACCTCAACGACCAGCTGAATAAAAAGCTAAAGGCACCTCTCAGCGCTGCAGTAAGAAGAAGGAGAATGTCTGTTTTGCAGACTTTGTAGAGGCGCCTTTAGCTTTTTACTCAGTTTTGTCGTTGAGGTCTTTTGTTCTACGGTTTAACTTTAAGTGATTCCTTCAGTATAAGACCAAGATCAGGAGAAAACCTGAAACACTTCAGTGAACAGTTTAAGGAAACCTGAAGGAGAGTTAAAGGTGTTCTGTGCAACTGTTTTATTTTAAGGAAATCTAACTCAGTCTTAACGTGTTTTGGACAAAGAAAAAGAAAGAAGACAAAGAAGAACGACGAATTCATCGAATCAAACAGAAGTAAAACATCTGTAAACGCAGTGAGAAACATTTATCCACTTTTCTTTAGAACATGAACTGGGGTTCGGGTCGACCCACCTGACTTCTGTACGAAACGAAGCTACATCCCATCGAGTGGCGTCAGAGATACGACTGAACAAACCCTCACAGATCCTGGGGATCAGACCCGCGTCTCCCTGAAACAACGAGAAGCAGCGTCATCAGAGCACAGCTGTAACAGCTGGAGCTTTTCCACCAGTCCAGGTCAAACACCAGATAAAGATCAGCTGTAGCTGCAGGAGTTGAGGCGTCTGAACACATCACATCGTCACACTCTTCTGCTGGTTAACATGGAGCTTCAATAAATCATCTGCAGATGAATCGTTCATAATCATGTTAAACTGTATCTGTGCTGTGACCCTGATCTACTGTCGCCACCCTCCAGTCAAACCACACACCTCCTGCCTCCTAACGATCAGGTGATCTCACACCTGATCAATAAACACGTTCTCTTAGATTCTGTGGTTTGTGTTTTTCCTCTTTGCTCCGGTACCAGTCTCTGTCAGTCCCGCTCAGTGAACTCAGCCGGCTGCAGATAAGACTGGACTATGAAGAAACCCTCACGTGGCTGCTTCACCAGGGGCGACACAACACTCAAGATTAAGACCAGGACCTCAGAGACAGGAGGAAACCTCTGCGGGGTTTTAAAGCAGGAGGTGGAGAAAGGTTTTTATTGACAAAAACAGAAAGAATTATCGTCGGACTGAGTGATTAAAGTGAAGCCTTTGTGCTGAATGATCAGGCAGGTCGATCATTCAGCTTCAGGCTTATCACACAAGGTGTTTCTAGATAAGAACATCTGGACTGTGGATGTGAAACATGTGTGGAGTCGTGTCTCACTGGATTTCCCATCATGGTGTAGGACTTCCCCGAGCCGGTCTGACCGTAAGCGAAGACGCAGGCGTTGTAGCCCTCGAACGCCGCTTTCAGCACGTCGGTGCCCAGATCTCTGAAAACCTGCCAAGGGAACCAGAAGATGAAAGTGGTTTTAGTTGTGTCAGGATCTCTTCACGGCCTCTGTTGACACGTGACCCGGCGCAGCAGATTACATGAGTGTGTGAGCGCTGATGTGGCGGAGCTGTCACGTGATGCGTCTGAGCTCCTGAGTAAACACAGCTGCTTCCACGGAACAAGAGTCTGATCCTCCCTCCAAAACCTCTGTGACACCAACCAGCACAATTAACCCCGTGAACCCCGGCTGCTGCTGCTGCTGTTGTTTACAGCGTGACAGCACAGTCGCTGCGCAACAACAACAACAACAACAACAGCAGCAACAATCAAGTCAACAGATGAAATGAAATTTTGTCTTAATTTCTGTGTGAAGTCTTGAGTTAAAAATCAGTTCGTCCTTGAGTCCCAGTGAACGTTTGTGCCAAATTTAAACTGATTCCCTTGAGGAGTTCTCTCAAAATCATTTTTTGTGAGGTCACCATGACCTTTGACCTTTGACCTTTGAGCACCAAAATCTAATCAGTTCACCCTTGAGTCCTAGTGAATGTTTGTGCCAAATTCTAAGAGTTTCCATCAAGGAGTTACTGAGACATCGTGTCCACGAGAATGAGACGGACAACCTGAAAACAAAATGGCCGCCGCTCTGACTGATACAAACACCTGATTTGAGTCAAAAACAACTTTTCTAAACCGTGAGAGAGAGACGCCGTCTGTCCTCCTGAGACGAGACACTCACCCTCTCCTGAGAGACGAAGGCGGAGCTCTTACAGTCCGTGGAGTCGTAGGAGAAGTCGTACGTGAAGGTTTTGGTTCGATCCCTCGTCGTGTCTCCTGCCACGCCGTCAGGGATCTTTAAAAAAATAACCACAACACAAAATGTAAACGACCCGAGTTCAGCTACAAGGACGGTGAGATCATTGTTAAAGGTCACGTGAAAACAAAAAGACCTTCAGGTTGGTGATGGAGGTTTTGGTTCCTTCCATCTTGATGATGCTTTTCGCCGTCAAGTCCTTCTCCCTGTGAAACAAATCTGAGTTTATTCTCCTTCAAAAGCAACGATCACTTCAGTTTCACGTCACAGGCTCCACTCTGTGTTTTTGGCGGGAATCCTTTTCCAGGTTCAGATTCATGTTTTAACCTTTAACTGAATATCCTGAAACACAGAGGACAGTCCAGAACATCTCAACTTTAAAACACGTCATCATCATCATCATCGTCATCATCATCATCATCGTCAGAGACCTTTAGACTGGAGGAGCTTTAAACTTATTAAACCTTAATGTTTCCCTTCAGTAGTTTCAGACACATAAAACATCATGTGCTTTTCATTCGAAAGGAAAATATTCCAATAGCTGTAAAACGACGTCACACTTTCAGCTGCAGAGACCTTGTTAAGTGTTTATATCATATATAGATATAGATACATTATATATATCTATATATACATAAAGATATATATAATATAAACACACACATATTCTTATAATTCATCCCCAAACATCTGGTACCTCTGGAACCTCTTTGTCTCCAAACTAGAACTTGGAGACAAAAGAGCTGCAACTAACTTTTATTTTCAATATCGATTAATCTGTTGATTTCTTTTCAATTCATTAATTAAATTTTTTTTGATAAACATCAAAAAACAAAACAATAAATTCCTCTCACGACTTCACAGACTCAAAAGGGACAAATTATTCTCAAATCAGAGAACGTTTAATATTTTTTGCTTGAAAAACGACTTCAGCAGTTAACTGACTGTCAAAACAGTCAGTTGATCAACTAATCAATGAATCGATCAATTCCTTAACTTATAAAGTTGAAAATACCAAAGGATGGAGAGAGACGTCACTTAAAATACTCATATCTTTGAGCGTTGTTATACGTCTTCTCATCTTCAACAGTCTTTATTCTGCTGACGTCAATAAAAAGCACATGACTGAAGCTGAACTGAGTCAGCGACATGTTTGCTCAGCCGTGTGTGATCCTCCGTCTCCGCCCGGGTTTGTTCTCAGGCTTCATGGCGTCTTCAGTGTGTCACTGCACAGTAATAACAGAGGACACCTGATGCCTCTGCAGGAACTCTCAGCTCCAAAGTCTTTGAAAGTCAGATTTCAGGTCTGTGTCAGCCGCGTTTGACAGGACGTGAAGGTGTCTGTAATCTCAGCACAACACAATAACAACCACACGTTATGTAACGCTGAGTGTTCTCATTATGAGTCTGTCATATAACTTCACACAGACACACGAGACGCTCAGAAAATGTGTCAAGGATTGTTGAAGTAAAGTTTATTGCAGGCTGCAAAGAAAATAACTTATTTCCTTTATCAATTAACAGCCAATTTTTTTCTTTAATAAGTAATTAATGGCTAATAAATTAAAAAAATATCACTGCAATCTCCACAGGATAAAGCTAATTTTATTAAAAGTTGCTTTTATCTAACAAACATAAAAAAAAGAAAAAGAAAAAGATATTCAGTTGACTTTCATAGAAAACTAGAAAACAGGTAAATAATTATATTGTAAAGAAGCTGCGATCAGTGACTTTTTGGCATTTTTGCTTAATAAATAATTTAAACAACTGACAACATTTTCTGTCAATTTACTAAATTAAATTTTATTTTTGAACAATTTCAAAAAACTAATAATTAATAAATTTTACAGTGTTAAGGCAAAAAATGAATTATTAGGTCAGTGAAATGATTGAACAACAATCCTAAATCTTCAGGTTTGAGAAACTGACACCACAGGATATTTTACTTTTTGCTTGAGAAATTATCAAAACAATGAATCATTCATCAGTTGCAGATCAATAAATCACTTGACTGATTATTTGCTTCAGCTCTAACTGATACTGACATTACTGTAAAAACAGACTGAAAAACAGCTAGTTGTGAAGTAAATAAAAATAAACTCTGTCTGCTTTCTCTTCTCTAATCTTTGCTCAGCAGAAACTCAGCTGCACCTGCTCTGCCTCTCAGGTGCAAACAGGTGAGGACATGTTGTCAGTCTGGACATGAATACCTGCTGCTGCTTCACACAAAACCTCAAAACCACCTGCAGTGACACGCCTGTGTTCACCTGGCTGAACCGAAACTCCAGCGCCCCAGGCTAAAATCTCTCTGGACCACATTATGTGACAGTAATAATAATAACCTGTAGGTCGTTTCACGGTGTAAGAATAAAGTCTGAGTCCATTAATGGGATTTAACCAGCCTCAGTGCAGCGGCTACATCTGTGTGAGCCAGTTAGCATCACACAATAACTATAACTGTGACATTACAACTACAACAACCGGACTGTAACCGTCAAAATGTCCGTTTAAATGTCCTCAACTCACCGCCTGTTCATGGGCCTGACCCGGACAGCCACCCGAACCGATGCCATTGCACATCCCGCTGTTGTCCGCCCTGTGTAGTCGTAGGTCGGTCCAGTCGGTTAGCTTCAGGGCGAGCGGCGCTGCTTTATAACAAGCTAATCAGCTAACGGGCTAGCTGTAGCCGGCTGTCATGAGCCGCGGCGGGATAAAGAGGGCAAAAGTCGCAGAGATAACCGCGCGACTGCAGACAAAATGTACAAACTGAACAGACCGTGGGGGGTGGAGGTGAAGGTGGAGGTGGAGGGGGTCGACGCCGTGGACAGATGTTATCGTGGCCCGGTGGCGCCGCGTCGCTGTCCCGGTGTTGACCGGCTCTCCTCCATGGTCACTGTTGAGTAGCCGTTAGCCGCTAGCTGTTAGCATCTGCTCTAGCGCCAGTCCAGTCACTAGTGTGACAAAAAGAAGCGTCAGCTGATACAAACATTACACCCGTACGGGGGCCGGGAGGAGACAGAAGTCTGGACTGAGCCGGTGTTGGACAAAAAGGATTTTAAACATGGAAACACTGTCAAACTTAGAAATGTATATTTGCAGAAAAAAGAATATGTTTGCTTTTTTAACATTTTAACAGAAATGCACATTGAAAAGACAACGAATCTACAGGCCAGTGGTGGAATGTAATGTTACTCAAGTATCATACTTCACTGCAGTTTTTTGTATTTTGCTGTTCATGAAAATACATACGTTATTCTAAAATATTCTCCCATCAAAATATATGCTTTAACGTGAACCCGGTAGTTCCCCTCCTGACCTGCGGGTGGCGGCAGCGGGCGAACCGCGTTAAAGCAGCGGCCGGTTTGACCGGCGCCAGCAGCAGCGGTGTGTGTTTCCTGTTGTACATGAGCGCTGTGAGTGGAGAAGAGGTGAGTTTAATGTCTATTTGCCTTTCTTACACTCATCTACCTGCAGCTTGACTCCGGAGCCGGACAGGTGATAGTCCAGCGTATAACGCGTAGTGCTCGTGTAAAGATCACTGCTCTGAGAAGCACCGATCACCGTTAGCTTGAAAGCTAACTGACGCTAAGCAAACGTTATGAATGAAAACATGGAACGGAAAGCTAACGCATGCTAACATTAGCTTGAACTGAGGCGCTAATCTGATGTACAGACGGGACTGAAAGTGTTGAGCTGCGGTAGAAAAGTCAAAATAATCTCTTTTCCTAAACACGTCTCCTCGACCCGACGGTGAATCTGACTGCACTCATTCTGAGCTTTTATAAACCAACTTTATTGATAACAGATGCAGGATCAATCCTCCTTTAACCACAATCACAAAACAAACAGGATGGAAACGTGGAAATCAGAAAATAGGAAAGGGATATACAAATAGAGAAAGTTCAGCCATTAAAATAATAATTAAATAGAAATAATGAACTGAGCAAGAAATCAGAATAAATTATATTCAGACAGAAGTTTATAGTTCCTTGACATTTCTGTACATTTGATAAATGGAGAAAATGAATGATTACGTTTTTACACAATGAGAGGATTTAGAGAAACAACATGAATTATAGACTATAGTATTTAGTTGTGATGATGATGATGTAACCATAGATTCATCAGCTTGTTCTTCATGACGACTCCTGACTGATTTAAAGAGAATAAATCTATATTTATGGATTTCCATCAGTTCTGGATCGAGGCACAAACATAAAACTTTTGTTTCTACATTTACGTGGCTCTGCTGTGGTGAAACTACAACGGTGCGTTGCAGCAAGGAATTGTGGGACAGCATTTCTCCTCTTCTTTCGTAAAGGAAGCTCCAGTGTTTCCTAAAGGAGATAAGAGAGCAAGCAGTGACGCAATGCTTTTAATACAGATATTTACAGTGAAACTTCAAGTGAATTTAAACAGGTGTAGAAGTTGAACTTGCTCTGCTGCTGTTTCCTCAGTCTCCACCATGGATATCCGCCCGAACCACACCATTTACATCAACAACATCAATGACAAAGTCAAGAAAGAAGGTGAGTGTCGGCTTTAATGATGTTCCAACACTGTGTTGAGGGGATAGTGACGTGTATATTACCCATATCACCCTGCCACGTCACTGTCCTGTCTGAACGTGTCCTCGTGTTGCTGCAGTCAGACTCGGTGTCTCAGCCTCCTGACGGGTCGTGTCTGTTTGTCGTCCTCTTCAGAGCTGAAGCGCTCGCTCTACGCGCTCTTCTCCCAGTTCGGTCAGGTCATCGACATCGTGGCCATGAAGACCATGAGGATGAGGGGGCAGGCCTTCGTCGTCTTTAAAGAGCTCGCCGCCGCCACCAACGCACTGAGGCAGCTGCAAGGCTTCCCCTTCTACAACAAGCCCATGGTAGATCACTACGATTCATTTAACCTTTAACAGTGAGCTGTTCTGATCCACGCCACGCCTCTCATGAAACATGACGAGGCCGCTGCAGATGTCTCTCGAGAATACAACACCTCAGCATCTTTGTCGTGACCTGACTCGTGTCGTTGTTTTCCAGAGGATACAGTACGCAAAGACCGACTCCGAGGTCATCGCCAAGGTGAAGGGCACGTACGGCGACAAGGAGAAGAAGAAGGAGAAGAAGAAGAAAGCTCAGGAGCCGGCAGCAAGCCTCATGAAGAAACCAGCAGTGGTGAGTAACGCCTCTGAAAGTGATCAGTCCCTCATCGTTTTAATTGTGATACTTTCTATGTTTTAGCTCATTAATAACAATTCTCATATTCATAATATGTAATTAACATGTTGATCATTTATCAGATCTTTGAATCAAGCTTCAGCCGATATTGGATAATGTCTAATATCATGATATTTCCCGCCAAATCCAACATTTTTCATCTTTTTTCTCTCATCTGAAACATTAAATACAATTATATTATTATTATATTATAAAACCGCTACGAAGCAGAGCAGTGCTACAGGTGAACCTCTACAAACCTTTTATTCAATGCAAATAAAAACATGAAGCTCCATTAGATATAATTCTAATGATTTAAATTGTTGAACTGAGAGGGAACGCTGGACTCCATCAGGTGGAGTTCATCTGGAACAGCTGGATGTGGAAATAAGCAGCTGTTTGATCACAAGCTGTCAAATTAAAAGCTGATGATATGTCGGCGTGTTTTCACGACTTGTTTCTGATGAACATGTGGTTAAATTTTGATTTATTGTTATTTATTATCCATAACAACCAATAAGGAGAAAAATATTGTATTTTTGTTTGTATCATTCAGACCTAAAGAGAAAGTATTTCCATCTCAAAGATGACTCATTAATATTAATAATATTAATATGAAGAGTATTACTCAACAACTGAACTGATATAAAACCAGAAAAAATTCAAAATTATAATGAACAGTTTATGATCAACACAGAAACTCAGTCATGATTTTCTTTGGGAAAAGAGTCATATATATATATAATAATATATAGTTATATATATAATAGTATATATATGTCATATATATTATATATCATTATTTAGATATACATATATATATGCATATATAATTAATATTATATTATATATATATATGTGTGAATATACATATATATATATATATATATATATATATATATATATATTCCCAAGCAGCAAAAACGTTTAAACCTCCTCTACAGTACGTTAATACTATGTCACACCATTAAAGTCAGATTTTTAAATCTCCACCAGCTTCGAGCCACGAGACGACGCGGCTTCCTCCCCGAGAACCGATGAAGTTACTGTCGTTTAACAGAGAGACTGATGCCGTAATTAAACAATGGGGTAGAAATGTTTCCAGAAACGTCTTTATTCCTCATGATTTGAGTTTGTCGGTGTGTGGATGTAAATATGGAGGAGGGAGGCCGCGTGTCCACGCCTCACAGCTGAATTAAAACTCAGGAGGCGTCAGGTGGAAAGGTTCATGTGAGAACAGGACGCTTTAGAGGCGGAGCTGTGGCCGACGTTCCAGGAAGTCAGAATGTCAACAGAGTGATTCATGTTCAATACGACTTGTAACTTCACTGGACAAGTGAGAACGATGAGAACCACTGGATGGTTCTCAGGTGGGTCAACGTGCACTGGTGTCAGACTGAACTGATCCTGTTCTCCGTGAACCTTGTAGTAAAACACGTTAATCAACATGTTCATTGTGTTTTCAGGGATCGGCGGCTCCTGTGCTCTCACCTGCAGTCCAGGTAAGACTGTTGGCAGCTTGTTTTTCTCCCTGGTACAGTCGCTGTGTTACCTGCAGTGGATTCAGAGGAGCAGCAGGAGGACCGGTACACTAGCAGAGTGATGACATCACTGCTGTGGGCGGAGCCAGCAGAAAAAACCTGTTTTAGACACTTTTAAAAGACGCCCAGAGAAACGATCTAATACCTGAAGCTTCATGTAGAAGATTCTCAGCTCTTTACTTTGGCACTACATTTTCTCAACCACTGAACAACCGTATTGCTACGCACTGTATTACGCCGCAGCCGCAGCCGCAGCCGCAGCCGCAGCCGCAGATCAGCTGAGCGGATCAGAACGAGCTAAACTTCACTGTTTACACTGGTGTTCCTCTTGTGTCTGTTATGATTTAAGACTTGACGACGGAAGCCCTGAGAGGCGTGTGGAACATTTTTAAATGTTTTTGTAATTCTCACTTTGGACACAAGAAGCTGTAAAAAGAAAAAAATCAGGTGCCAAAGCAACGAGAGGCAGTTTCCAATCACTGCAGTGAAGATCACACAAACCAATAACCAACATGGTTCTTCTCACTTCCTGCTCATGGCTTCATTCAGATTATTTATTTCATATTGAACAAACAATCCCTGAGATCATTGAGTATCATTAGATTTTTCAGTTCCAAGAAGTTTCCCTTCTGTTTTCTGAAACATTAGATGGTGTAATAGTTTCTATAGCAACGTACAGTGTTGAAATGTGTGAGTCTGTGCAGGACAGAACTGATCTGGATCTGTGTGTCTCAGGTTCCAGACAACCCTCCAAACTACATCCTGTTCCTCAGTAACCTGCCGGAGGAGACCAATGAGATGATGCTGTCCATGCTGTTCAACCAGTGAGTGCTGCGTTCACTGTCGCTGCTGGAGAGTCGTGTCTTAACAGACCGCTGGGGTGTAAATGACGGCGCCTGTGTGTTTGTGTTCTCGGCAGGTTTCCTGGTTTCAAAGAGGTGCGGCTCGTCCCGGGGAAACACGACATCTCCTTCGTGGAGTTTGAGAGCGACACGCAGGCGGGCGTGGCCAAAGACGCACTGCAGGGCTTCAGGATCACAGCGACCTGCGCCATGAAGATCACCTACGCCAAGAAGTAGTTCCCAGGTCTGACTGCTGACAGGACACAGAGACTCTGAGTGAGGGGGGGGGGTGGTCCCTGGATTTCCGTTGTGTTTCCAGATTCCTCAGATTTTTGTAAATCCATTTAAAATGTTTTTGTTTTTTTTGATAAACTCTGTGCGGCCCTTCATGAGTTTGAGAGAAAAATCTCTGGCCTCCATCTTCTTTTGTAAAATAAAAAATAAAAGACTTTTACATAATTCTTGCCTCAGATACGAGTTTCCCTTCAGGGAACAGACGTGGTCTCTTCTTTTACGCAGGCTGAAACCAACGCGCTCAAACTGTGAATGAATATGAAGATGATACTGTAACTGTACTAAGACTTTGAGGGCTGACAATGATCCATGTTTCTGTCTGAGCTCACTGGTTCCTGCTGCGGCTCCTTTAACAGCTCAACATACTTTTATAAACTTTATAGACTTTCTCTTTGATTTGTGGTTTCACGTTGTATTTTAGATCTTATTATCCAGTGTATTAAAGGTGCAGTATGAAGTAGCAGAAAATGGAAATACTCCTGTAAAGTACAAGTACCTCAAAAGTGTAAAAGTACAGTACTTGAGTAAATATACATAGCTCTCTTTAACGGTTTGGATGGTGGGTCCAGGTGGGCGGGGCTTGGTGGCTGCTTTGTTGTGACATCACAAAGTTCCAGAAGTCCTGACGGCTGGTTTTAAGGCTCAGTTTCTGAATACAGGCTGTGTGCATTTCTCTGTGGACTGAGGCTTTGATACTTTCACAGTATTAATATAGAAGCTAGAGCTGATCTATAATCACACTACACATGGAAACACACCTTTACACTGGAGGAGCTTTAAACACATTCAGATTCTGCAGTTGTGGCAGGTTTTCTACATATTAGAAGTGACTGTAAAGATTCATAATTAATGTAATAAACAGCTGTACAACATGTTCTAGACTTCAGTCTGCAGTTTTACATCAGTGTCAGTCATATTTCTCTCTGCAGCTGTCATTGACTTGTGTCATCCCGGCAGCGAGACGTCGTCCGTCCTGCTGCTGGCAGCGAACGCCACATTTCTCCACATGGACTGACAACCACATCAGTTTAGTTTTCAGCTCGTCTACGGCCAGAGGAGAGTTATTGATCAGCAGGCAGCCGAACGAGGCCCAACATCAGCGCCTCAGCACTTTGTGAGCTGTTGACTACCAGACAGATGACAGCAGGGGTTTATGGGATACGTGAGAGGTGGCGGTCCTCACAGTGATAGAAGAAGTGGTTTAACTCAGCATGAAGGGAAGGACATCGACCGGCGGTGACGGCTGGATGATTGTGTCAGACTGCAGAGATGAATGTGGAGGTGGAGGATCAGATCAGTCTGATCCAACACACCAGGTCCCAATCAAACTAATGACTTTAATGATGAATTATAGTAAATATTACAACCCATAAACCTTATTCTTTTTAATCTTGTTACTGTAGATACAGAACTACAAGTGCTTCCTGTTTTTTTGTAATGACAGGAACAGAACGCCAAAACATTCAGAAGATAACCAAATTATAGTGTGTGAATATTTGAAACATGCAAAAGGAACAAATAATTAGATAAAAAGTGAAAAATTAAACGAGTAACATGAAGAATATTATACTAAAGAATTATAAAATTTCCATTTTCTGCAGTGAGAGGAGGAGCAACACAGGAAACAAAGCACAGCTTCAACGTCTCACTCCAGAAATGAAAGTAAAGTCTGTCAGAGCAACAACTGAGCTGCAGTGGAGACGAGTCTGTTTCTCTCTGACAGAAAATTAAACTGAGTCCATCAGGTCTTTGTCAACAACACAGCAGAGTCTCTACCAAACACTGGTGAGTACAGCTGATCATATTTACTGTTTGAACAACCAGCACCAACACAAATCTTCATCTCTACTCAGGTGGAAGTTTCACTCTCTTCATTTCATACTGACACTTGTGAAATGGGTCACAATATAACTGTGTGTGTTTGTCCACAGACCCACTATAGTCCACCTTAAACTGTCTCTGTGTCAGTTCTCAGGACGTTTCTAACTCCTTACTGACTCTCTGTGGTTTCCGCTTTACTTTCACTCATTTCCTGCTTTTATTACTGTTAAGTTATCACTTCCTACAGCTGTAATACATTCTACTTCCTCTAGCTGTTTCACAATAAAAGCTTTCCAGCACCTGTGAACGAGTAACAGGCCTTTTATTGTGAAGCAGCAAGAGGAAATACATTATGTTTGTCACCAAGTAAGTGGAACTTTACCTGCTAAAAGTCTATATATTTTATGGGTCTTCCACATGGGAGTATAAAGTTGGCTCAACAGCGCCCCCTAGAAACTTTAAAACAAGGCAATACTCGCCCTGTGCTTCACCTACATGTATGAAATTCAGTAGAAACGTGTAACATGCCAAGACTTACAGAAAAGCCTCTGGCACCCATACCCTAAACCCAACAGGAAGTCAGCCATTTTGAATTCATACCATTTAGCTGCTATAAAGTCATGTGGATGAATATTTGAGCTTTAACAGATTAAATGGTCACAGTTACTCAGCTCGGTACAAGTTTCCCCACCCCCACTGAATTATGACATAACTCAAAATTACTTTGACTAATATCACAGTTTATACTAAACGTAAAAGTCATCACTCTTCTTCCTTTTAAACAAATAATTAAAAATATTATTTCAAATGAAATGTTTCTTTTCTTTCTCTCTCAGTGTGTAGACATGTCTGCTGCCAGCAACCTGAGATCTGAAGATCAGTTCCTGTGCTCCATCTGTCTGGATGTGTTCACTGATCCAGTCACTACATCATGTGGACACAACTTCTGTAAGAACTGCATCACTACACACTGGGACATTAATGACAGGTGTCAGTGTCCCATGTGTAAAGAGGTTTTCTATGTAAGACCTCAGTTGAGGGTCAACACTTTCATCTCTGAGGTGGTTGCTCAGTTCAAACATGAAGCTCAACAGAAAACCAGCAGCAGCAGCTCAGAGCAACAAGTTTCCAAACCAGGAGAAGTTTCCTGTGACGTCTGCACTGGAACCAAACTGAAGGCCCTGAAGTCCTGCCTGGTGTGTCTGACCTCCTACTGTGAGACTCACCTGGAGCCTCACCTGACAGTGTCAGGCCTGAAAAGACATCAGCTGATCGACCCTGTGGAGAACCTGGAAGACAGGATGTGTACGAAGCACGATAAACCTCTGGAGCTGTTCTGTCAGACCGACCAGACATGTGTCTGCATGCTCTGCTCTGTTTTAGACCACAAGACACATGAGTTTGTTCCTCTGAAAGAAGGATATGAAGGAAAGAAGGCAGAGCTGGAGGAGACAGAGGCTGAAATTCAGCAAATGATCCAGAAGAGACGACTGAAGATTCAGGAGATCAAACACTCAGTCAAGATCAGTAAAGATGATGCAGACAGAGAGAAAGCAGAAGGTGTTCAGGTCTTCACTGCTCTGAAGGAGTCTGTTGACAGAGGCCTGAACCAGCTCATAAAGGAGATCGAAGACAAACAGAAAACCACAGACAAACAGGCTGAAGACTTCATCACAGAGCTGGAACAGGAAATCTCTGAGCTGATGAAGAGAAGCACTGAGGTGGAGCAGCTCTCACTCTCTGAAGACCACCTCCACCTCCTCCAAAGCTTCCCATCCCTGAAAGCTGCTCCACCCACCAAGGACTGGACAGAGGTCAGAGTCCGTCCACCATCATATGAGGGGACTGTGGTGAGAGCTGTGGCTCAGCTGGAGGAGACGCTCAGTGAAGAGATGAAGAAGCTGATTGAGGCTGAGCTGAAGAGGGTCCAGCAGTATGCAGAGGATGTGACTCTGGATCCTGATACAGCAAATCACTGGCTCATCCTGTCTGATGATGGAAAACAAGTTCACTGTGGTGATGTGTGGAAGAATCTCCCAGACAACCCAGAGAGATTTTCTCAATGTGTTATTGTCTTAGGAAAGCAGAGTTTCTCTTCAGGCAGATTTTACTTTGAGGTTCAGGTTAAAGGAAAGACTGACTGGGATTTAGGAGTGGCCAGAGAGTCGATCAACAGGAAGGGAGAGATCACACTGAGACCTGATGATGGTTACTGGACGATATGGTTGAGAAATGGAAATGAGTACGAAGCTCTTGATGACCCCTCAGTCCTCCTCTCTCTGAAGTCTCAGCCTGAGAAGGTGGGGGTGTTTGTGGATTATGAGGAGGGTCTGGTCTCCTTTTATGACGTAGCTGCTGCAGCTCTCATCTACTCCTTTACTGGCTGCTCCTTCACTGAGAAACTCTACCCATACTTCAGTCCCTGGCCTAATGATGGTGGTAAAAACTCCGCCCCTCTGATCATCTGTCCTGTCAATCAAACTGAGTAGAATTATAAAATAACTTGGTTTTAATTTTTGATTTTATGAATTGATTTATCTTTATTCAAAGGAACATACTCAGTGTGATGCTGTTTACATCTTCTCACTTTCTACAGAATCTGATGACTGTGGTGGATGAGTTACACTTCATTATTAGATTATCATATGTAAGCATTTACACAGTCAATACATTAATTAGATCCATTATTTCATCAACCCTGTCACAGCTGATGGTCAGGGGGTGGAGCCACAGTATCGAGGTTTCGACCCTACAACAAGTCAATCATGATGTCACACCCTCTTTGTATAGAATCGAATAACTAATTAAAACAAAATGTATCTGAGAAACAAACAGGTCTTTACATTAGTGTTTAGACCGAGGTAAAATGACAGAAACATCTTTGGGAAACATTTACTTGACGTGAACTTTGATTTTTTTAATTTAGTTTTTTTTTACTAACATGGAGGGGGTGGGGTTTATGACCTATACTGCAGCCAACCACCAGGGGGCAACAGAGATCTTTTGGCTTCACTTGTGTGAAGGTTTGACATCGTCCATCTTTGTTCACAGTCACTGGTGTACAAGTAAAAGTCAAAAGTAAATAAAGTGTGAACTTATTTAAACATGTTTTTGTTTTTGTTTGTTCCTTGAAGCACAGTGTTTTTTCACCTCAGGTAGGAGGTGTCGCTCTGTCAACAACGTCACCTGGTGTCTGTATTAGTTGTTTATCGTCTGACTGAGGTGATTGT